TTTACACTTGTCCGCGTAAAAATGTAGTTACACACATATATGTATTTAAATATGTTCACACAAATGTGCACTCTACCCTGTAAAAAATCCAACTGATACGTGATGACTTCGGGAGCAATCATAAAGGAGCATACTACTAATACCATTTTTGATCACTTTATATAGATACAACTGTTTCCATACGAGCATGTCCTATGAAGAAACCAACTGCTACCCTTTATACCTGAACGGATATGAAAAGCGACTAGTCGCATCAGAGATCTCAGGCTTGCTACGGGTATAAAAACTCCCTCTACATGTCAATGCTGCATATGAAATCGTTAATTATCCCTTAGAGAAGACTATCCAATTCCAATCTCCAATTATTCCCATAAGGGACGAGTTGAGACTAATTGCTCTTCAATAATATCCGTATGAACCTAATTGCGACTAATTAATGCCCAATTGTACACCATTGAGACTAACCCCATATTCATATTTGCTGTCTTATTTAAGCTACTCAATGTGTTTGCTTAGCTTATTATGCGTGTATGGACGCTATACGTTTCTTTTAGCTTTTGTTGTGCCACTTTATATATGCAAAATATGTCGCCAACTTGTTGACATGCAAATGCGAATATTTCTTCACTTGTGCGCTTTTGTGTTAATCTTAAATGCCGGCCTATTTAACTGCTAGTAGTGTTGAGTAATAAGCAGTTGGATTATTGCGGCATATACATATATATGTACGTTTTTATATACGATTGCGTCTTCATGTAAGTGATTTTAATTGTGAAAGACAGCGCATATTTAATATGAATGTGAGATTATAGTTTTGATTAAGCTAATCAATTTTTTATTCGAACATCATTTGGGAGCCACTGTAACATGTAATACGAAGGTGCACACATCCATACATACATATGTACATATGTACATGAATAACATAGCAATCGTTCAAGTTCTTGATTTTGATTCTTTGTTTTATTAAAACTGCATATATTTCTAATGAACTGTGCATTGCAATGTAAACTATTTCTGTCGCCGATTCGCTATAAAAGTAAACCAAACGTGCGTTTAATTTTGCCATTTGTATCTAAGCCAAAAAGTTATTGAAGCGTGAAGGCCGCTTCATAAAAACATATCTAAATCTATTACAAAATCAAATGATTTATTTTTCATATATGTGAACTACTCATACTCTAGCTGTGGTCCGTAGCTCGTCGTTTTCAATGCGTTCAGAACTTGAAGATGTTGAGCGCTCTGTACATAAAAAAGTACTCAAACAAAATATGTTCCGAAAAAAAACAGTAACATAAACAAGCAGTACCAATCAGTGTTTCCACTCACTAAATTTTTTAGTAGCCAAATATCTAGCAAATTTGACTGAAACGTTACCGTGCTATTATATTTAGAAAATGCTGTTTTCTTTTATTTGTTATTGTTATTTGTTTTTTTGAATTCATACCATTTTCGTAATACAGTGCTTGTCAGAATAATAGCCTAACATATGGGTGGTTCATAAGGTATCGTACTTGTCGTATTGTTGTATGTTGTAAAGTTTTTAAGGGCTAAATAAATGTTTAGAGGACTTGAAATCACCACCAACTATTTTTTAATTGTGAGAATTTCATAATAAAACTTTTATGTAAACTTGCGAGTTCCTTAAATATAGTTTTAGCCGTTTAAAGTTTATGACATACAACAGTACGACAGTATACAACACCTTGTGAACTCCCTAATAGAAATTTACAAAGTTTTGGCAATCTTATTACATATTTTGTTATTAAAATAAAGCTCATTCTGTAACAAAAGCCATATAAGTCCAAGTTTAAGACTTTTTAAAAAAAAAAAACTTTAATAGAATAGCAATTCAATTTCATTAAAATATCAAGATTTTTAAGCATAATTTCTAAAAAAAAACGTGAAATGCAGTTTTATAGCTTACTAAAATTTAGTGCATTAAAGTGCAACTTTGGAATTGAAAATGTAGCCATTTTATGAATTATGTATCATTGTAGCCAAAAGACGGCGATTAATTTTTCAGAAACTACCAGCCCTATCGGAAAGTGATGTATATATGGTTTATGGCGAATTTTATTGGCTTTGATTTGACGTATCTCCTTTTAAGATTGTTAAATTGGTTCGTAAGATATACGTGATTAAAAGGATTCAATTTTTGCTTTAAGCTGAATAACGGTAAATTGCAAATATCCCGAAAACGTATCCGTAATTAACGTAATTTTATTTCTTATAATCGTTATGGTCTCTGCTTTTGAGGAGCTTCACACTTGCACCCTGTTATACTTAAATTTAATGGACCATAAAACTGCATACCCAAATTCTTAAATTAAAAAGTTTGAAATTTTGTTGGAACTTTTTCGAGCTTTCGTAACTAGATAGCTAGATAACTAGCTACATACATATACTTCTATAAAAAATAATTAACCTTAAATATTCAGAAGAAAAATAGCTATAACTTGTTAAGATGTCGCAACCATATTCCCTTTTCCAAGAAATCTACAGTGACCCAAGTGTCAATTGTGGCGCGACATTTTAGCAAGTTTTGGCTATTTTTCTTTTGTTTATTCAATGTTTATATTTACTTCAGTCCAATTTAAATAATACGTCCTGTCGACGGTAATCATCTCTTTAAATGTCCACTCACATCAGCTGATCTAACAACCCCCTCCATACGCCTCAGACCCGTTGGATCTGGCCTTTTCATGAGCCTGCTCTTAGATGCGATGCTACTTAGTCGATTCACTGATTTAGATAGAGTTTAGTAAGCTGCTTAAACAAAAAACAACCGTGGAAGATTTTCGTTCAGGTTTCCTTTTATTTCTTAAGTATTTTTCTGGAGTAGAAAATTGTCCAGCAGTCAGATGTAAAATTAATTCCGCCACTAGATTTATTATTAGATATCTCTCTAGAACTCTTCACTTTGCCAAAAAGTATGTATGTATAAGCGATTTTACTATATGTATGAACTTATTATATCTAGCATAAGCATGAAATGAATGTGAAATTGCATCTTGTATTTATGCAACTAATTTGTAAATAAATACAAACTTTTATTTTTCCCGTTTTTATTACTAAATACAAACTTACATGCGTATATACATACATATATTAAAATGTAACTAAAGTTACATGTTGCTAAAATGCACTTGCATTCAATAAACTAAACGTCGCTTAACACAACTGTGTCGTTTAATTAACTTTGTGCCACCATCCGCAACATCCGCTGGACACAATCGCTCCACACTGCATTCATAGGCCATCAAAAGCGGTGTAGAATACATTTGTCTGTCACTCGCTCCCAAATTTATACGCTTGCCATCCATATCGGATTCGACCAATGTATTACGAGATTTTCCATTATTGTAGTCCAATTGAATAAAATGCAGCGTTATGCAAGATATCAATACTTTGCATATTTGCAATAAAACCTCAATGCAAATGATCAATAAAGTCGAAATTATATAGCTTGGCAAGCGCTGACTTTCACCGATAATCCGACGATGCATCTTTCTGAACTTGGCCGGATGCTGTTGTGAAATTTTCCGTGATGTTTGTTGATTGCTAATAAAGTAGGGATGGCATACAATTTAAATGCACTTTTTCTTCGAGCAGTCCAAATTTGTGTGTGTTGTAAGAAAATACCGAGTAGAAATGATGAAATTTTGCGTTCACCACGCTATTTATTTATGCACACACTTAGGCAGACGCTTAGCAGTGCTACGTGCGGCAGGTATGCCACTTTCATATCTTTGGTGGAGATTTTCGGCAGCACATTAAGGCAAACTAATTACTTTGTTTTGAAAATCAAGAGCCTTTTGAAGTTGTTTTGATCTTACTGAAAAACATGATATTTTTATTTGTCCAAATGATTAGGTTACAAAAGGAGGAGTGTCTTAAGACTTTACATAGAATGGTGCTTTGTTTTCGATTAGATCAAATAAAAAATTGTTTTGGAATAAATTATTTTCACTGAGAAAAACAAGTCATATGTACTACAAGTATAGGTACATGTAAATATTGTGCTTATCACAACCAAAACGCATTTAACAAAGTGTGACATTGAACTCAAAAGAACCATCCTGTAATGTGAAATTGAGAAAAAAACATTGCATGAATGTTTGTTTATATTTTTTGGACATTTTAGTACCTTAGAGAGCTGCGCTGTTTTGTCAATGACACCTTGTTTAATACACCTTGATCACAACTATACAACTATTGTTCTATAAAAATTCTTTGAGTGTCCTTCAGAATGTCCTAATATGTAATGGCGATCACAACGGTACGACACTCCCATATTGACAAGCTATGAATATTTAATTTATTATTTTTCAATTTTAATTTTTTTATAAAAAATACTATTTTTGAACTTTTTAATTTCTTAGAAAGATTTGGATATGCAGCTTTGTAGCCCATTCAATTTTAGTGTAATAAAATGCAAGTTGTAAGTAGGTGCGACATACCGTTGATTTTTGGTAATTTCTTTGTTGAAGGTGTTGCTCATTTTCCCCATACAAAAGAATTGTCGAATCGTCTGCGTATGGAAGAAAATGACTGACACCGTCAACAAAACAAAATTGAATGGACTACAAAGCTGCAAATCTTTCTAAGAAACGATCTAATCATATTTCATTCAAAAATGCATCAAAAGCGCCAAGTATCCGTGAGTTTCCACGATTGTTTGGTTTCAAAATTAGAAAACTACAAGGGGGTTACCGACTTTGCTCTCCGGCAACACAGAATGGCGAGTTCTACTTAGTAAGGTATATAATCCCTCGAGATTTTCGGATTTGAAGAAAAAAGTGCTGCATTTGACCTTTGACTTTTCGTAACTACCGTATTTCTCGTTTCCCCCAAAACAAAATTATACGGTTATGCTTGCCTCAAAAACCCCTATCGAACTCTTTTTTTTATAATTTATCCATAGTTCGGTTTCTTAACTTGTTCCCATAGTCTACAATCTCCAACTTCTAGTAATTCGCATTTTGCTTTCCTTTCAGTGTACCATGGAACAAGAAGACACCTGCCGACCTGTTCCCGCCCCGCGTCGTCTCTATCCTGAGCTGCGAAAGCTTGACTACGAAAATGTGACTGTTGAATTGATAAATAAAAATCTCAACATAAACTCAGAAAACCTACACACAGTAACTAATTGCACCGAAAAAGTACCGAATAATAAAATATTTTTTGGTTCCCATTCTGATCTGGAGGACACAGCCAGCACACGCAAATCCATTCTCACCGAAACAAATGACCTATATGGGCCCAACGCTAACGAAACGGTTGCCACTCCAGGACCCATATATTCTACGCCAACTCCCGCGCCACGCCCACGCAAGCCACAAAATACTGATGTAGAAAATGCCAATAACATCTATGAGAATACCGAAGTGCTCCACGCATCGCCACAAACAACTCCAACCCTTTATCCAGAGCTGCCAAACAGCACACGCGCCATCAGCAAGGAAAACTCACCCAACACCTCGACTTCGTCATCACCATCCGGCAGTCGTGCCGCCCTGCGCAAAGCGCCCGTACTACCTCCCAAGACATACCTGAGTGCGGAGCGCGAACGCTGCAACCGTGCGCAACGATATTCCATTGGCAGTGAAGTGTCCACCACGAGCAGCTACAATGTAACCATTGGAGGTGGTGGTGCTCGTGCAGGTGTCGGCGGATTGGATGACTGCGCTTTTGGCATCGGCTACACACAAAAATCAGCCTCCAACGCAACACTCAATTCATCTGTGGATGAGTCGAATGACAGCGGCGATAATTCGAAATTCAAATCACCTTCACCCGGGTATGTAAGAAGCAACGCGGGTGGCAATCCGAATTTGAACAGCTATGCGCTGAACGATGGTAGTGATATTAGTGTACGCGATGATGAGGATGATGTTGATATTCAATTTGAGAGTGATGATAGTAGCCGCA